AATCATTCCATAACTTTTCTGTCGCAGTTGGACCAAAACGTTTATCTTGAACATGTTTCAGACTTGTGAATATAGGAAGTGGTGAATAAAATAATTTATTCTGTGATGACTAATCCGAGGAAGCATTGAAATGAAACAAGATAGTTTTCGCGCCAAGTTCACAGTATCTTGACCCAAGTGGTAAATTTATTAGAATTAAAAGTTTTTCGTTTCCATTCGTAGAATGCCAGTTTTTGAAATTTTTTTTATCCTAAAAGGACATAGCCGATACTTATACAAATATTTTCACAGAAAGCTCGACTGACTGTGTTCCGTATGAGAACTCCACATTAAAGCTCAATAACCACGCTTATTAATTTTTTGGTGATGTGATATGTGGCAAAACGAACTGCTTTGGTTAAGGTCAATACACTGTACAATACATAAATATTCGTACAAGCACTTTAAACATGCATAAACTTTTATGAGTCAATTATGTCAGCGAATTCCGTCACATTTTTGTTTGCAAGTGAGTGTCTCAGTGTGAAAAAAAATATATATCTTACTTTAAGGAGTGTGAAAAAGAATTTAGTTCCAATTCATGGGATGAATGGCTCTGCGCAAATCTGTGTACCATGCGATGAGCACAAGAGCCTCGCTCAGAGCAATCAAAAGCAGATGTAAAGAATTTTACCACTCGAAGGCTAGGCAGAGATGGAGCTCTACAGGATCGCTTAGGCTTCCGGATCTGAATACCTACGACTCACAGGATATTAAATCCAATGTAGTGTTAAACAAGTAACACGAATCGAGATGGAAATTTTGTACTTTGCCAGTGACTCTTGTTGAAGTCGAACGTTTATTCAGTCTATTATACATTCATGCTAGGAGTGCCAGTTTTTACCAGTACTCGACCGTTTTTCTAGTTTCTTAAGAGCCTTGGAGACGTTTTCTAACTTAGCACGTCGCTTAACTTATAAAGTCTTACCACTCAGTCACAGCAGCTGTCAGTTTAATATACATACATAAGGTGTTCTTAAACATGTGGCAACCCCACCAAGTACAGTTCAGAAATAAAAGTTTTTCAAACCCCCTTCGACTGATACCCATATTTTAATAATTCATTAAACTTATTAAATAATTTGAATTTAAATTTTTAAACGGGTGGCAACCCTCTTTCCGCACTTCAAAAATATACTGGCGTTCAAACTAAATATTTCTTAACACTCGTTCGTTTGATATCCATATTTCGATGTTTCATATAACTTGTGTATAAGTAAACTAAATTCGACATTTCCAGCAGGTGGCAACCCTCTTCAAAATATTTTCAAACTACTACTTTCTGAATCCCCTTTCGTTTGGTATCCATATGGTGATACATATTTTTCTCACCTAATATGATTTTTTAAACAGGTGGCAACCCTCCTATAATGCAGCTAAGAAACAAAGCTTTTCAAAATCATTTCGGTTGATACCCATTTTGTAATAATTGATTTATTCTTTTTATTAATTTGAGTATAAGTTTTTAAAGGTGGCAACTCTTATCGAAAAAGTAAAACCTTATTGCACATATCGTCCAAGCCTCTTAATTTGACACCTCATTTTTGAAAATCGAACGAACGGTGCGGATATGATAGCATTGATTTTTAAAAAAATTTGAATTTATTTTTTCAACAGGTGGAAACACTTTTCCAAAAAATAAAACCAGTTTGCACATCTACACCTCAGTTTTGCAAATCAAGTGAACGTTGCAGATCTTTTATCCTGAACAAAAAAATACTTTCGCGTCTTATATATGTATATAGATAACTAAATTATTTAATACTAACTAACATTTGCTATTATTTACATCCAAAGTTTAAATTATTAATATCCACATTTTTTTTTATACAGTTATACAGCTTAGCCATAATTTTATGCGTGCAATACATACAAGCGATGGTCATAGAAAGCAGTGACAATGGTGAGCAGCTGCTGCATTTCGGGTGAGTCAAAGAACGAAGGTAAAAAAGAAAGTCGTACATACTTTCGTGTTCTTTCTTATCATGTAAAATGGCTGGGTAGGTATATGCAAATTGTTTTCGCCCTGCTTAATTCACATTTAAAAATATTTGTTTATATTTGGGCTATGATATCATTTTGTTGGCAAACAGGTGCTCGTTTTGTCTCAGCCTAACTGTAATTTTACACATGCTTCTAAGTAGCTGGCAAAACGATTTAACTGTTTTACATTTGTTGGTATAATTTATTTAACATTGAAAAAAGCAGCTTGTCATTTACATTTAAATATCTAGAATAAATGTAGAAAAAAAACAAATAAATTTACAAATTTTTTATTTTTCTTTCTCTCGACAGTTTCAAAACGGAGAACGGTCAATCGCGTACAGAGGATATAACATACAATAACACAATACTTGATGTTAATACTGAAAAGGCTGATGACAATGAGCTGAATGCAGTGACAACTGCGAAACCTGCGAAACCTGTGGAGTATCGTGGTGGCTATAGTTTCATCTCTGCCGATGGCTATGAATACACTGTACTCTATAAGGCTAACAAGAATGGCTTTCAACCCTATGTAACGGCGCGTAAAATTCGAGATGACAAAATTTAAGTAAAATATTGCAGGAAAATATAAAATGCTTATAAAATTAATGGTATTGTATTTATATTTAGCTGTTTATGGTAAAATTATATATCTATTGATTAAATCTTTTGTATTTCTAAATTGTGATAATGTAAATGAATTAGGTTACTTGAATGTACCTCATGGAATTATATTTGTATTGATGTATGTTTAGTATATATGCCGTAATAAATGTATGTACATACATATCTATATATGGAACTTTTTACTTGTGATGTTAAACAGATAGCAATGCT